GAAGGCCATGACAGGACCTCAAGTGGACACGGGCCGCTCAGGAGCTACGCACTGACCATGTAGCAAACCGGATCATCCTTCCGGACCCAGTGCGACAAGTCAATCCAGTGCTGATCAAATCTCAGCGGCTTCCAATAGGCTATGGAAGCTGCTGTACCTGTATGACTATGATAGAAACCAAGTTCATTCCGTCCGAGCATCCAGGCATTTCGGGCAATTACACCAGCATAGACCCCAGATAGCAAAAACATGCAAAAGATTTTTCTGGACTGCACCCTGAATACTAGAAGCCTACCCAGCACCAAGCACTGGTTTCCCAGCCGGCATGACATTTTCAATTAGCGGCATACCTTCGACATCCGTTTCCAAAACAACACTCTGTCAAACTTTAAAGAAAAACCATCTTCACACACTAACGCATATGGTTGTTCGCAAAACTCCAACAACCACATCCACAGCTTTGGAATGCGAGCGTGCGCAACCATGTTGGCCTGGCGGCACCCAGCACCGGCACCTTGTGTCTGCCACGCACACAGCCAGCACCAGCACCCAGCACCACCACGCCCACAGCCAGCACGCGGCACCGGCACCCTGTCTCCACCACGCGCACCCAGCACCGGCACCCTGTCCCCAGCATACGCAAACAGCCAGCACCAGCACCCGGCACCGGCGCTGTCCCCGCCACGCGCACAGCCAGCACCAGCACCCAGCACCGACCCTGCTCCACCACGCGCAGCCAGCACCAGCACCCGGCACCGGCACCCAATCTCCACCACACACACACACACAACACCCAGCACCGGCACCCAGTTTCCACCACGTGCACAGCAAGGACCAGCGCTCGGCACCAGCACCCTGGCAACAAGAGCACCGGCACCGGCACCCAGCAAAGCACTTGTCTCCATTACGCGCACAGCCAGCACCAGCACCGGCAGCCAGCTCACAGCACCAGCACAAGCACCGGCACCCGGCACCCAGCACCAGCAACCTGTCTCCACCACGTGCACACCCAGCTCACAGCACCAGCACCGGCACCCGGCACCGGCACCAGCAACCTGCCTCCACAAAATGCACAGCCAGCTCACAGCACCAGCACCGGCACCCGGCACCAGCACCAGCAACCTGTCTCCACCACGTGCACAGCCAGCTCACAGCAGTCTCCACCACATGCACAGCCAGCTCACAGCACCAGCACCAGCACCAGCACCCAGCACCAGCAACCTGTCTCGAAAGCGCGCACGGGCAACTCATTGTTATTTGAAGTAAGAACCCCATAGCTTCGCTATCTGGGGAAAAAAAAGCACTGTCAGTGGACGTAGCTGAGGCATCGGCAGAAGCGAGGTTCTATGGGAACAGTTTTCAAGACAGGCTGAGCAAATGCTACAGGTAGGCAACAGCAGCTTCACAACTCAATACACAAATTTATCCTTCCCTTTGACAGAGGTCTGAAACACACACCAAATTATTGTCTATGGGAAGTTCATGGTTTCAATTCGCACTTCAAATCCATTGATTGTCCTGTAGCTTGATATTTCCAGGCTCGCAGTGCAGCGTTGGCTTGATGTCAAACAATAGTGATCATTGTGTTCAATCCACTAAACACCTTCGTTGAACCAAAGCACTATTGTCATCAGGTTGTACCAAGCTTAAAGCGGCGGGTACAAAAGTTTGGTCAATGCAGCCACTGCGGCCTGTCTGTTCAGCAGCGAGTAGACAACTAAGACAGTGCGTGACCCGCCTTGAGCTGGAGGGATGAAGATGGGCGCTCCTGCGAAGAGCAATACTGTCATGATCAGCACGTCGGCACCTACACCCGGAGAACCTGCAACATAGATGCGCCTCGGCTTTTCGGTACACTGGTGTCTTTTGAATACTTACTTACACATGTTCTGTATCATGCAAACACCCATCACACCCCAGTATATCATCAACCGCTCCCCAGCAGGATCTTTTGAATTGATCCAAGGCGACCACATACTGATTCCAGCCACTCGTCTCTCGACTTTCGACTTGCTCCTACTCAGGATTTCTGTCCTCAACATTGCAATGTTCTTATACAATCCAAATTTCAAATGGCTTTGTTCACTTTGGTCAAGACAGTTGGTCCATCATGTTTGATTTTGGAAACACGTTTTCAACCCTAGTCTTCATTTTCTGGAATTCCAACTTTGGGCTCCTGTCGAACACGCCTCTCCGCTAAGACTTCCAGCAACCATTGCCACATGATGCAGGCCGAGAAAAAAGAAGCTAGAACATGTGCAATGCAAAAGCAGCTTCTTGGTCTGTGTATGCGAAACAAGCAAAGCCAGGAGTATTGGTGTGGTCAAGTCAGTGTTTCAACAACTACGCCTAAGAGGATGACAACGGAGCTAAGAAAATCTGTTCTCCTTCTCTGCCCAACCAAACAGCAAGGTCACGGGGTCTGTTGCTATGTCAGGCACTTGACTCTGAAATGGGTGCTTTCCCCGTAGGACCTTTGACGTGTCATCTGAGCTTCAGAAAGCTGTCAACTGAAAGCTGGCGTGAGATCTTCACTCCGACTGCCACGAAGCAAGCAGAAATTAGAGAGAAAGTTGTGAGATCTCGATATGATCCGTTGGCTCCCAGTCTAAGACACATCCATCAAAAACTGAAGCAAACAAAACCAATCGCCCCCCCAGAGTTCCAATCCCACAGTAACACTGGTCAACCTTGCTTGGCCCTTTGATCACCTTTCGTAGGCTTCAGGTTGATGTGAATTGATTGCAGGGACCAGCACAAGCGAACAACAAGCCACCAGTGCAATACTCATAGCACCATGTCTTTTGCCTAGACACTGCATTGCACGGTCGTTCAAATCGGGCCCAGGAGTGGGCAAAATGTGGGACTTGCTGAGCCAACATGGAGAAAATGTGAGAGCTAAGTGGCTAAGTGTGTAAATCGGACAGAGAGCTCCAAACCGAGCTCAAGCAAATCCAGATCATGCCGAATTCGGGCCTCGCGGACTCGCACCTCGAAACAGCTTGGACTCTCGTTGGACTTGTGGAGGGCTTTGGAATCAGGAGTACACGCCCCACAAAATCCCACGAAGCATAACCTCCTGTTGCCTTTCTCGGCGGGGAGGTCAGAGTGTTTTGAGAGCTCGAACATGCCTGACTCGATATTTAGCAGAGTCCTGCCAGACTTGCTTTCGAGACCACCAGGCAGCATGGACTGGGTAACAGTGAACACAAGTGAACAACGCGTGCTGCCTGAAGTTGACGGTTTCGGCAGAACCTTGACCCTTCCTTTGGGCCAAAAAAGTCAAGGAGTTTTCGCCGCTACCCAGACTGTACAGTTTGCTGCTCTAGCCGCCAGATTCACCGGCTGTCCAAAGCGCCCACTAGCCAAGGTCATGGTTCCTCGGCAAAATAGATCTCAAGAACGATCTGGTCCCATTGTTCGGCCATTCCATGCTTTGTTCGTGCCAAGTTGCATTGGCCACAGCCACACCTAGTGACCTGGCAAGGTCTTGCTAAGCTCTTACGAGCTATGTGCGGCAGTGCATTGCCTTCCGCAGCCGATTTCCGCCCTGTCAGCACTCAGGAGCGTAGTAGGGCTCAATGGGCAAAAAGGGTAAAACCTTGGAGAGGAGGAATGGCATCACATTTACTGAGCCAGGCGGAGCCCTCCTCATTCTGGGGAGTTGCTTGCAACACAGAAATGTCTGCCTCAAACTTGAAACCTAAAGTTTCCACTAACTTCTGGACTCATTGAGAGTTGCCAGAAAGAAAACACCATGCTGACCTATCATGGTTAAATAAAAGAACGGGTCAAGTCATATGGCTGTGGGTCAAAACCGGGTGATCCTGGTTGATCACTGAATATGAACAGATTGCCAGGTCAACCTGCAGGGTTTGGAGCTCCAGGTCTTGACCCACTGCCATATCGCTTCCGCTTCCGAACTCGACCGCTCCTCAGGCCCAAGCTTTGTCGGCCCACAGAAACATGCCAAAGCCAAGCTCCTCCGGTCAAAGCAAAATACAAAGGGCAACGACTGCAATAACTGAAAGCAACCCATTGTGTGTGTGTACTATATAGTATAAATGGCAAACCAACTCTCATGTGTGAAAAACTTTGATATACTTTGATGAAGAATGTATCTCTGTTCTGCGGTTCAAGCGATAAGAGGCATGGATTTCCAACTCCTCTGCTCATTCTCCCAGTCAAGTTCTTGGTCAGCCGCGTCAGCCATTTCGACCCCATGGTCTTCAGATCTCGCCTTGCCAATCCATGAAATGAGAGCCATTCGGTGCTGATGCCAGTCCGGAAAGATGAAGGCGTGCCTGGTCAGTTCAGGTGCGATTGCTTGAAATTGGAGAGTCTAAGCTCACGCCAGAGTCTAAGCTCATTGTCAAAAGCAAAAGCACTGAAAACCACTGAGCCCCCCGTCCAAACCGAGGAAAAGTGAACACTTTTTTCACCCAGGTCCGATGAAAAACGCCACAAGACAGGTCTAAATGGGTCACAGTTGACCGACAAGCTGCTCAGGAGCCCATGTCACGCGACGGAGCGCAGCGAGGAGCGCCTGGAGGCATTCAATGTTGCTGGGCCCTCTATTTGGGTGCACATCGCTACTAGTACCAAGGGCAGTACTACTAGTAGCAAGGACGCTACTAGTAGCTCCTGGCATTACTACTAGGAACAAGAATGCTCAGCAACCTCATCAACCACTAAAGCGGAAACCCTTCTTTTGTCTGGCCACGGATATAGAAACTTGAAATCTGATCGACACACACCATCTAGCAAGGTTTATGCATCTTCCTCATGGCCCTGGTGGCGATCTTTGCTGTTTGCGTAGCAGTGTAGGACTTGACTTGATGTGTTTATGCCCTTGCAGGACATGCCGCAAAATCTGACTTGTGACTTGTCTGATCCGAGGCCTGTCCCTCCACACCCCATCTCCCCTCTCTCTACTTCTCCCCATCTCTCCAATGTGACAGTCCTAGCAGTCGGCCTGTGTGACACGAAAGCGCTCCGGCACCATCAAGCGGTGCAAGCAAAGCCCTGTGAGGTCTGGACCTGAACCACTGAAGTTCACTCTTTGAAACCAAGCGTTTCTTGGGAAACGCGAGACCAGATCCAGCCAATTTGCTTGGGACTCTTGTTTTGGTCATGTCATGCTCAGTCTGGGAATCACTGAACTCCTGATTGCAAGATCCTGCCAATTGATTCTGCTTCTTTGTGAGCAGCCAGGCGGGGTTAGACGCACGGATTATCGATGCAGAGATGCACAAAAACAAGGTGTGCGTGTTTTTGGAGCATTTGTGCATCAAAGGCGTATATGTTTAAATCATTCACGGAAGGTCGTCCTAGTCTAGGTTTTGTCAAATTTGCAAATCGGGGTCTCGTGTATCACTTGTTTTCCATCGCAAAAGCAGCCAGCGCCTAAAGTCAACTTGGCTGCTTAAAGCTTAGGCTCCTTCTGAAGATATGAGCTGGAAGGAACCTATCCACAACGAACGCTAATACTCTTCCCACAACCCCTGTGTTTGGCTCCTCTCTCTATGCTTCTACTCAACCTTTGTATCCAATCTAGTCTCATGCCATGAACTGTAAAGACAGCTGTCGCCATTAAGGAAAGCAGCCGGCTTGCTAACCACAACCAAGTGTGTAGACTCCATGACTCTATGATGCATTGGATGAACATCCACAGACAGATTATAGTGCTTGTTGTGCATGTGGGTCTTGACCTTTGGTGGCCACCTTCAAAGCAAAGCTGACATACAGTTGTTCAAAGAAATACTGTAACTTCATAAAGAACCTGTTACAATCTGTGTCAACACTGCAACGATTGTACATGGCTCAGAGCCTGGCTCATAAGTCTAGCAAGGACCTTGGAGCTGCAGGGAGCACAAAGAGAATGACTTCAAAGCTTTTCAAACCTCCTTGTGTTTAGAGGGATTCTGCATCGTTCAGTTGCTTCACGTCCTGTGGATGACTTCCACCAGTCAAATTTAGAACATAGATAAGAGCAAATTCCGTAGAGATCCATTCTAGAGCAGGCTGCATGCTTTCCACTACCCCAAAAAGTTCCAGAGCAGTGTTTCGGAAAAGAAAGGCACAAAGAAACACATCTAAATAGAATACTGCAGCACCGTACTTTCTTGACCAAGTCACACTTCCGTTAAGAAGCTCCACCCAGCGACATGAGTTGCTTGAACCCACCACGGGATGCCTCAGGAAGTCAGCCAGCAAGAGTCACTTGAGGTGGTCAACATCCTTAGATACGTTTGAAAAGGCCTTGGGTAATTCGCTGTTCTTGGCCTTAGCCAGAAACAAGTAAGGACTCACGGTATACGGTATACGGTATACTGTATACAAAAATACCTTATTGATCCTGATCGGTCATCTCAGAGTCATCTCACATCAGGATCACAACTGTAGACCTCTTCTTCTGTGACAGGAAATCAATACTTTTCAGGCCAATCCCAAACATTCATCGGTTTTCTCATCTCGTGAAAATGATTAGAGAAGCAGCCTTCAACCCTTCTGCAAAACTCAGTAGAAAGATAGGATCAGGCACACCGCGTCCTTTTCCAGCTCCAAGCGGCTGGAACAAGGGCGAGTCGCTGGCAAAGCTCGAAGTTTTCCCCAATTCGCCTAGACCAGCCATGCCCAGTGGTTGAAAGCCCACGCCCCGGACGGATTGCTAGTGGATCCCTCCTGATTATCATCTCTGCTAGTCAATTTTCGTCCACATTAGGATTGAATTCTGGGCTGATTACATCTCCTCCAGTAAAAGAAACTGGCGTCTCACTCAGTCAGAGAGTCTGACTGCACAACCTCTTTTAGGCTGACTGCTAGCACAAGTGCTGGTTGCATCTGGTTGTCATATCTGCTACGGATGGCTCAGGCCAACCAAGCAAAAATCATGTTGCCAAAGTGGGAAAAGAACGGCCTTGATTCACCAACCGGTCAAGTTGAGTTTGTGGATGGGTGCGCATTTTGTTTCAATGTTACCAAAAAAACACCTGAAAAGTGAGGGGATGAAAGCCAGCCCTCGCAAACGCTTACAGCAAAGTGCTTCACTCAAGAAGTTCCAAAGAGCGATGGTGGAGATGGCCTTCAAACACGCCGCAGAAGGGCACCAACCCAGAAAAACGGATTCCTGCATCTACAAGTCATTGTTGCCGTGTCCAGCACCCACTTCTCAGAGATGCCCTTTTTTTGCCTGACGGCCCCCCAAAGGACTTTTATTCGACTCCCTGCATCTAGATCTTTGTAAATCACACTAACTTTCCGCTCAACTCCAGAAACGAAAACGAAATCGGCCCACACCGCTTGTCGGTGCAGGGCGTGCTATGGGGCTCTCTAAGCTCTGCTGCTATGCAAATAGCTTTGCTAGGGGGGGCCCTTTCTTTTCGCGCGTGCACGGCTATGGTTGGGCTGCAGGGCCACTGGGGAGGGCGTTTTAGAGGTACATGTTTGGATGATTTTTCGTTACGTCATTGTTGCAGGGCCACTGGGGAGGAGAGCGTTTTGGAGGAGTTTTTGTGTTTTGGGGTGGTTGCTGCGTTGATTCTTGCTCGGCCTGCAGGGCCACTGGGGAGAGCGCTTTGGAGGTGTATTTTTGGATGACTTTTGGCAATGCCGAAATTGTATCACCATTATGGGCTCCAAGGTAGACGAAGTTGGCCCCAAGATGGCTCCAACGCAGCCGTAAGACAGCCAACCTAACGCCTTTTCTTCGCGCGCGTGCGTGGCTATGGTTAACGCCTTTTCTTCGCGCGCGTGCGTGGCTATGGTTGAGCTGCAGGGCCACTGGGGAGAGCGTGTTGGAGGTACATGTTTGGATGATCTTTCGTTACGTCGTGCTTGCAGGGCCCTGGGCAGAGCGCTTTGGAGGAGCTTTTGTGTTTTGGGGTGGTTGCTGCGTTGACTCTTGCTCGGCTGCAGGGCCACTGGGGAGAGCATTTTGGAGGTGTATTTTTGGATGGCTTTTGGCAAGGCCGAAGTTGCATCGCCATTATGGGCCCCAAGGTAGACGAAGTTGGCCCCAAGATGGCTCCAACGCAGCCCTAAGACAGCCAACCTGGCGCCTAGATGGCTGCACTTGTCCCCAACCTGGCGCCTAGATGGCTACTTCCACTTCACTAACTTCGGCTGTTCGTGCGCGGTGCGGGCGGCTGTCGACGCGAAGCGTCTTGAATACTGTAAGTCAAAATATGTTCTTGCGGAAGTGCAACGTTTCTCAGCACTAAGAGCCTGCGGTCACCAGTATGGGTTTGTGAATGCTATTTCGCACTCCTCCTTTGAGCGCTGAGCTGAACTGGTGTGCTCATTGCTCAACTTTCAGAATGGCAGATCTCCGCAATCCAGAAACTCATAACGCTTATCCATTTCACCGTAAACATCGTACTTTCGTTCGTGGTCATCATTCTGGTTTGCTTTCCACCATTCTTGTTCACACTTCATCAAATGCTGCTTCGCCCTGAGACATGAGCGTGCTGCAGCCTTGTCAAAAACAGCCAACCTACGAAGCTCTACGCCTGAAATCCAACCGCTTGTAGCTTTGCTAATGGTTGGGTCTTCACGACTCTCAGGCATCTGGGCTGTCCCGCTCAGTACTTCTTCTTCTGGTGCTGTCTCTTGTGGTGCTTCTGGTGCGTTTGTCATCTCAACATCTTCTTCGCTCTCGGGTTCACGAGGCTCGATGAACCTCAATGGTATCTCAACCACTTCTCCTGAATCCAGCCGTACCTGGACTGTCTCCTCGCCTTCAATGATGTCGTCATCATCATTCTCTGTCTCCTCCCGTTGAGGGCTGGGACTGCCCAACGGGATCTGTTGTTCATCCAACTCTTCATCTCGTTCCTGCTTTGCCTTCAGGTACTCCTTGACTTGGGCATCCATTCTCCGAAGATCAAACTCTCGGTTGCTGTGCTGTAGATAGTTCCAGTGCTTCCAATCCTCTTCGTGGAACTCTGTTGCATCAACATATCCTGAAGCCTTCACCAAGCCTCTGTGGATCTGCTGCGCATAGACTTTCAACTCTTTTACTTCCTTGCCAACTTCTTTCACCTTCTCTTCAACCTCATATGTCATTGCCCCCTGGGTCATGACATCCACATGGCTGTCATCCTTCATCTGTTGAATCACAGTCTCAAGCGCTTTGATGCGCTTCCACATCATCGCCACCATGACCATCATACTGAAGATCAAAACCGCCACAATCATGACGATGAAGAACCACCACCACCACCACTTACCATTCTCCACGGGCTCAATCTCCCTCACTCCGGCCACCTGCTCAAGGTCCTCAAGTAGCAGGATTCGGTTGAGCAACTTCGCCAGCTTGCTGATCTTGACTTGGCTCACACTCATCTCCTGCAAACGGCCATGCTCCTCCTGGCCTAACCTCTCTCCATCACGTCTCCGGGCATTGCACCAATGGAGGATCAAGCTGATGCGGTTCTTGGTGAGTGGTTTTGTACCAAGATCTGCAATGTTGTACACTGTTCCCACTGCCCGCGCTTGTAGTTCTTCTTGCGCCACTAGATCCTGTATCCACAGCAGTTTTCCCGAGATATGCCGAAGTTTCCCGGGGCCTTTCCTATGGCATAGGTGAAGCGCTGCTGAATTGTCAACTAGACAATGGTGGATCACCTTCTCCTCCGCAATGAACTCGAGGCACTTTCTCAGGTAGATTCCATCTGCCGCTGCCGAGACCAATGCGTTAAGCTCAGCCTCTGCAGAACTCAACGTCACACTCTTCTGCCCTCTTGAGCTTGCAAACACCACCACTCCATTGGCCACGTGGATGGCTGCAGACGTGGAACGTCTGTGGCTCTTGGAACCTGACCAGTCACTGTCCGAGAATGTCTCCAGCAACCGTCTTCCCTTGGTCGTCTTCGTGGAGAGTCCCGCTCCTGGCTCCTCAATCTCCAGCATCGTGTACTGACCCATTGTATTCTTCAAGTACCCAACCAACTTTCCAAGCTTCCTCAAGCTTCCGGTTGTTGGACATGACATTGACCCGGCGAGCTCCTTGATCACATAGGGCACATCTGGCCGCTCTTGTGAAAAGTATATTCCACATCCAACCAAAGATCTATAGAGACTCGCGAGATCTGGCCTCAACTGTGTAGTGCCATCAGCTTCAAGCATCTCCTGGCTACATGGTAGGGATTGGATCTTTGCGCGTCCCATCGTCTCCTCATACATCTCCACCATGTTCCCGGCATATTTGCCAGGGTGAACCTTCAGTCCAGTCTCTGTCTCCTCGTATGTCCTCCTCAAAAACTGAAAGGAGCTGCCAGGACCTGCTAGATGCTGTTCTGAGATTTCAAACCTGGCTTTGATGCTGGGCAAGAAGTCGTTCATAACGTACTCCTCCTCTCCAAGATATAGGACGTCGTCCACATGGATCAACAATGTCATCTTGTTGGAGAATTTTCCCAGGCATGGGTTCGTTTTCGAGAACTCAAATCCCTTCTCGCATACAACCAATAAAATAATCGAACCAAGCTTTTGCTCCAATCCTCTGTCCTGGAAGGTTTCGACGGACCTCAAAGTGTCCCGTGGCCGTTGTCACCTGGGTTGGTTCATCTTGCGGTACCTGAAGGAAAGCATCCTTTACATCCAGTGCACCAAGCTGAACTTGTGGGCCACCATCTTCCATCTCCTTCTTCCTCATCAGGTACAGGGCTGGTATCAATCTCAACGCTTGGCTTCCACTGGCTGGGCTGTGAACATCGTCTCTTCGGTCGGTAGCGTACTCTCGTGCCACCATCCTTGACCTTCTCAAGAACTGCTTTGGCGCTCCTGGCAACTTGGATCTGGGTTTCACTCTCCAGTCATGAACGAACCTGGTGGTCAGCTTCTTGTAGCCACTCTTCAGCCCATCCATTGGAATCAAGACTCCCAACTTCTGTAGTCTTCTTTCCTCCACTTCATTTGCTAGATCATCGACCCAATTGGGTGGATCAGGTGGAACTCTATCCAATGGGGCGTCAGACCAGAGCTCATCGGGAATGTCTTGAAAGGACTCTTCCTCTTCTAAAGCCCATTCATCTTCCCATTCCAGAAAGTCTTCTTCGATGACCTTGTCCATGTGGTAGTAAAGCGTTCCTTCCACTTCTGTAGCCTCAACTCTTCTCTCCTCTTGCACCCTTTCCTCTTGCTTCAACCTCTTGGCTTCGGGTGCATCTGGCTCCAAACCATGAATATTCTTCTCAAAGGTCACCTTGAATCTCTTTCCTTCGGGTTCTTCCTCACTTCCTCTCAAAGCACCTTTCTGAGCTCCTGGTCTTGGTGTGCTCGGCCACACTGTTGAAGGTCCTGCCTGGTTCCGGCTTTCATCAATTTTACGTGGGTTGCTCACTGGAATCAGCTCTTGGACCTCATCTTCCACGTAGTCCCTCTTCTTGTCTTCTGCCAGCTTCCTTTCTTCTTCATCCCTTGGGGCCTCAACTCCAACTGGCCTCTCCTCTTCAACTACCAAATTGTGGGCCTCGTCAAGCTTTCCAGCCAAAGTCTTTGTAAAGGCGAGCACCTCCAAGGCATCCTCATCGTGGCCTGCTATGGCTTTGCTCACTGGCATAGGCACTCCCATTGGTCCTGTCACCATAGCTGCTAGCCTCTTGGACGGTACGATACGTCCTCCAAAGTTCTGCTGGAACTCCCAGGAATAAGCTGTAAAGTCCTGGTAGCAGGCCAGGTACTTCTTGTTGGCGTTGGAAACTCTCCTCAATGATCTGCTGAGGAAGACTCTGTTGCCATCGCCAATCACCCAAGCGTCTTGGATCTCTGTCTTTCCAAGGCAAATCCCAACCTTCCATCTCGGGTCTGCTTTGAAACCTTGCTTGGGCTTTGAGTACGCGAAACAAATCTCCCCATACTCACACAACTTTCCTTCATAGGTTCGGCCTTGGCATAGTTCGTAGCTTGTTGAACCTTGAAAGGGTTGAAACCGATTCAGCAACCAAGCCCCGTGTCTGCATGCCCATGTCCATAGTGGATGTTGGCTACTGTGGACTGTGTGAGGCTTTCCATGAGGGTTGCAGCCACATTCCTGATGCGTTGGATGGCATTCTCAACCAAACTGTTTCCAGCTGCATCGTAGATCCGGGTAGTCCTCATGGTCGTCTTCAGTCCAAATGCAGACCTCGATTGAACTAGGAGTTTGAGCGCTTGCCTCAGAGTAGGCTCATTGCCTGAATAGTACTGCACCTCCTCATGCCCCAAAATCTGCGTGAAGGCGAGCAACTCGTGGGTGATCAATGCCAGTTGCCCCTTTGATTTCAATGGCAAACCTAACAAGTATCCTGTCTGCGAGCATACAGCTACCAGGAGTAGTGCTCCTCCTTCATCTGACACCCCCAGCTGTGCCTTGTCTTCCTCATCTTCTCTCCCCAATGCTCCAGACCCTGAGGCTCTAACATGGCATAGATCAAACGAGATAGTTGGGCATCCCTGCTCACGAGCTCTGCCTGTCCTCCTGTGCTGGTCTTGCCGTGCTCGATGTTTGAGGCGAGAAGCACACCATGGGGCATATGGAATGTGAGTCAGCTGATGTTGCCTTCTCTCTTCCTCTGTAGGCTCCTTCGCCACTGCCTGCTCCAAAGGAATACGTTTCTCAAACGCCTCCGTCTGTGCTGCCAAATCTTTTGCTAGCAGCAACTCCATCTTGTTCTGGTGCTCCAACAATCTGCCGAGGCACTTCTTCTTTCCTCCACTCTGACCTATCTTGTAGTAGGAACAGGCTGCTCTCAAACTCCTCAATGGACTTTCCAGTGTGAGGACCACATCGTTGACCGTGATGTGACTTGGCAAAGCTGGTCCGACTTCAAACCGTACGAGCTGGTCATCAAGACTTACCCCTTCGGCTTGCTCTCCTCCTGGAATCTCCATGTCCTCGACTTCCTCAGCTTCGTTGGCTTCAGGGGTGGCATGATCATCAATTTCTTCAACTCGGGGCTTATACCACTTGAAGCCCTCACTCAACTCAAACCCAAAGTTCTCTGGGGTTGTACCCTCCTTGGCAATGAACGTGAGGATCCTGCTCATATCTTCTCCCTTCAACTCTTCAGTTGCCTCTGCTTGGTCCTCCAGGCTGTCAATGGGTTCGGCCATTTCAACTAACTCCCACTGTCCTCCTTTGTTCACCAAGGTGGACCGACAAAACCCTTCTTCTTGGCTCCGAAAGCCTGGGATGAACTGAGGGCTTTGGTATGAGCGTCCCAAATGCAGTCCCAACCAATGGTCATCCTTCTTCCTCCATCCATAGCGCTCCTCCGAAGTCCTCTGTAACTCCTCACTGAGCTGGACTGCCAACGTGCGAATCACCTGTGGCTTGGAAATAGTCCTGACGCAAGCGTCAACCACCAGGCTTTGGTTCTGAAACGTCAGCGGCACCTCCAGCTCTCCATGCGTCAAACACATTGAATTTGCATCCAAGGACCATCCACTCCTCATGAGCCTTCCGAAAGAGATGATCGGTTGGCTCACACAGTCACTGAAGGTGACCTTTTCTTTCAAGACCACTTGGCGACCTTCTGTAGACCATAGGATGATGTCCACACCCCGACTCCCATAGGTCTTGATTTTGGTTCCTTGGGCATCCTGCAAATGGGGTGTTCCACCAGATGACTCCTCACCCAACTCCCTCATGAAGCCTGGGAACAGAGATGCATCTGCTCCTGAATCCACGATCACTGCCATCGAAGGACCTTTAATGCCGTCCTCCACCATATCTTCATTCATCTCACTGTCTTCCCTTCTCTCATGCACCGTATTCACCACATAGGCTGCTTGCGCATCTTCGTTCTCATCGTCCGTGAAGATGTTGTAGTACTCCACGGTTGCTTCCTGCACCACTCGAATTGAACCACCTGTTGAAGCTTCTCGCAAATCAAAAACAGCTGGTTGCGAAACTCTTCGAATTGACTTTGCTGCCGCGCTCTGATCTCCTCCACCACCAGTGCCACTCGTGGTAGTCGACGGTGATGTGGTGCGCTGCCTTGATCCTGCAACACTTTGGGTGGCTGGTGCTTCGGCCTGTCTCACCCGCCAGCAGTCTTTCGCCTGATGACCAGGCTTACCGCACGTCCAGCAAACCTCTCCATTGCCCTTTCCTTTGCCCCCTTTGTTGTCCTTTGTTCCTTTGCCCTTACCTTCTTTTGCTCCTCCGCCGAACTTCCCATTCTTGCTCTTGCCTTTGCCCTTTTCTTCTTTTCCTTTTCCTTTTGACTTCAAGTCCTTTCCCTTTCCCTTCGGATCCTTGCCGCCCTTTCCCTTCTGCACTCGGTCGATTTCCATGGGCACCGGACCGTCAGTCGTCGAAGCATTGGGCTCATACCTGAGAAGGACAAGGCAGCCGACTCGTTCCATCTTGTCGTAGCTGTATCGAAGGCTAGGATGGACTCCCTGATCTTGTTGTAACTGCTGCCCTCATTCAACGTGATGTTCAGGTGAGTCTTCATTTGGCCTCCCACGGACCTCAGGAGGATTGCTGATTTCATATCACCAGCCAACTTTCCTCCTCCAAGGCGCTCATACTGAGTGAAGTGCTCCTCTAACTTCAAGATCTGTGGCAGGAGTGAGTTCTTCATGTTGAACTGGGGATATGCCATTATCCCTTGGAGCAAGTTCATCGTGCGATTCCTCGCCTGGGGTTGGCAGTTTCCAAGGAGCTGCCTCAGAGCTTCATAGCCGTTGAACTTGTCCACTGTCTTCAGGACTCCGACGCGCCTGCCTTGGATCAATCCTCCCAATAGGGAATACAAGAAGCGGCTTCTCTGCTGGTCCTCATCTGACATCAAGTCCCAGTCGTACTCTGAAGTGGGATTGGCCTCCATCTTCTCTAATTCTTCTTGGTATGCTCCATCAACAACTACCAAATACTGCTTCAAACTCCAAAACCAATCTCTCCACTGTAAAACCTCCTGCTCACGGTCAGCGGGGTTGAACACTTGAGGTCGTGGTATCAACTTGGCCAAATCTTTCTTCAGCCCACCAACATCACCTCCACCTGTAGGAGAGTTTTGACTCGCTGTAGCCTGGGCAGCCTGACTGGCGGCTAGAGTGGCCGCTTGAGCAGCACCGATCAAAGCCTGGGTGAGCTCAGCCATGCCAGCTCCTGCCATCGGGAGTTCACCTCCCGATCCATCCATCTTCTCTCACACCCTTCTCCGTGTCAGGGACCTTCTTGGGCCTCAGGAGGTAGGAGCTCCGCCGACTCCTCAAACACCTCTTCAAATTCCAAGATGGGGGCAAGGCCAAGATCGGTGGTGGAGTTCACGCTGGGCCGTCAAATCGACACAAGCTCAGATTGCGAGAACTCTGCCACACTAGCTCTATATGGTCGCTCGGCGAGGGCGAAAGTAAACCCTGGGGCTCCAATCCGCGCTGGAGCTCAGTCGAGACTTGAAAGAATCGACATCACGGCTCCGCTACCATGCGGAAGTGCAACGTTTCTCAGCACTAAGGGCCTGCGGTCACCAGTATGGGTTTGTGAATGCTATTTCGCAGTTCTCATATTGGACCCAACAAACCTGACAAAGCACTCCAAAGATGCCGTCATGCCCAGTTGATGATGCAAAAAGATGCTGGTATCAACTGGTGCGGCATCACTCGCATCACAAATATATAGCGACATGTTGTCCAACCATCGTTTTCGCTCTCCGCCAGCAGGCTCTGGGCTCACCCTTCCAAAACCTGTCTTTTTTCACCTACCCTCCCCAGCAGACTTCGTTCGCTTAAAAGAACTTCAGCCTAGCCTATCGGATGGCTTCCGTTACAAAGGATATATAAATTATGTACTATGCGAGGACTCCCTTTTAGTATCAAACTGACACTCGACCAACCCTGACTCAGCTGCGCCACCGAAGAATAAGTCCATGCTGTCATTGTTGATGGTCTTCTCAAAGTTCTCTCCATTCTGAGCCGCAAAGATGGTCGGAGCAGTTTGGGAGCAAAATCGACCCCTCTGCGTTTTCGTTTGACGAAGCGTTTTCGTTCCGGATCACACCGACCGGGTTTTGCCACACTGACCACGGACCACTACAGCATCCCACATCTCTTCGTTGAAGTACATTCTTTCGTGAACAGCGGAGGAACGCTTTTTGACAGGAAAATCTATACAGTATATTGTTGTTCAATTCTATTTCTTTTTCAGGGTGGTAGTGCCAACTTCAGCCTGCACGTCAAATCAGACTCAAAAACAAAAGCAACAGGATCGACAACTCATCAAGAACGAGAAAACTGTTACACTGGTAAACATGATTCTACAATAATGCACAATAATGCCTTGAGAAGCAGCTTGCATGTGACTGGTGAGATCGGCAAGATACGAGTGTAGTCTTTTGTCAACTCATGCGACTCTTGCTCTTTGCCAAGCATCTGCTGGCCATTGCTGAAAGCAAGCTTCCAGATGTAAGCAAGCAAAGAACATCTCCTGATCAATTGGATCACTTGGCCAAACAGCAAGCCGATTTCAGCTTCCCGAGCAGCATGAGATTGGGCATGTATTGTGTTAACATGTCTTCTGCCTTCAGCTTGCATCCCAGATCTGCTTCGGCCAGTTGATCTGAATTTTTACAACTGACCAACCTGCCCCCTGCAAATCAGTCCCGCGAGGGAAACGCTGTGTCCATGATCCATGGAGGAAGAAGCAAAGGCTCCACTTCCAGCAGAGTCAACTGAAACCTCACGAGGGACAAGCTAAGCACATTGTAACATTGTATTTGTTTACAACTCTGCGACACACACACACACACACAAAAAAAAAAGAGAACGAACATTGCTCGAGTATCTGCAGGTCACAAATGGAAAAGTTGGAATTTGACCCTTGCAGTGGTCCACTTGCAGCTTATCTGCAGACGCAAAAGAAAGTCACAAATTAAGAGCGGGTACCCACCTGGCTACCAGCATGTATTTGAGAATTGGCGAGTGGGCAGCTTCAATTGCTGGTGTCCAAAACCCTCACAAGCAACTCCTCAAAGCTCCACGACTCAGTTGCCAACCAAGGCCTTGTTGATGCCCCACCCGTAGCCTCCGTACCCATTAGTCTCCAAACAAGCGACCGCACACATACATCACGAAGAGCCTTCGCTGATGCTTCAATCCCGGCTTCCTTGGAGATTCGGTCCTTTAGAAAGAACTGTTCGAGCTTCTTTGGGTCCTTTGGGTTCTTGGGTTCTTTTTTCTCGTCCTTTATCTTTAGGCCTTTAGACCGACCTTCCTTCCTTCCTTCCTTCCTTCCTTCCATCCCATCTTTCCTTCCTTTCTTTCAGAAAGGCCCCACTTTGGTTTGTTAAGCTTGCTTTTGCCCAAAGCTCGGCGAATGGATGTAGCCCAACTTCTCGGAGCACCTCATCCTCGACAGCCAAAGCCTTGGGCCCTGGCCTCAGGCACACACAAATCGGTCGGCCCCCTCCCTATTTTGCGTTTGGCATCTTTCCTCACTTCACTTTTCTTGATTACAACTTCTTCGTTTCAGATGCTCATCTTCACTGCCACTTTGGTGCAAAGAGGCAAATTTGTTTCAACTTGTGATAGCTGAGCTGAGTGGGTAATCACTCCAAAAATGCAGGTGCCAAACTTGGCAAGAGAGCCACTGGATCAAGCAAGCGCTTATGGACAAGAAAGTCCAATGATAGGGATGTCAGATTGGACGCTTGTTCTTGGTTGAAGAAGAGTCTTGGATTTACTCCCATATAATGAGTAAAGGCAAAGGGAAGAATTTAACAGCAAGGCGGATTGTGCCACCAAGCCAGTTGCCACCACTCAATCATGTTTAATTGCACGTCCACACCCTCACTGCCTGGGCTCCACGTCCAGGAACTCAGCGACATGTTCTACATGTTCTTGGACCTCCTCACAGACCTGCAAACTGCTGAGGATGGGCCCGAAACTTTAAGAACCTGACAAGTGCTCGATCGAGCTACGGAGCCTTTTTGTTTTGAATGGTAGCGCCAAGTGGTTTCTCTTCTTAACGAGTTGGACAACAGTTCCCAGTTCCCAACACCTCCTAGTTTGCATTCTGCCAGAAAAGGTTCTTTTGGTTGTTGAGGGGATTGAAAAGCGGATAGTCTTTCAAGCTTTCCGCTGACCCACAGACTCTAAACGTTCTGTCGCGAAGGAGCAAAACAGGTCATGTCGTGTCATGCCAACCTCATTCCCCAAATTGCTTCTCCAGCTTCTCCAACGGAACACGCCTGAAGCTCTTCTTCCTTCTCTTCGCTGGCCGACGGGCATTGAAGCTGCGGCGTCATCAAATACCTCAGGAGTCCTTACAGGAACTGAGAAGCAATTGCTTCATTGATACAAAAGGCTAACAGCAAACGAGGGGCTGCGATATGCCATGTTGGCAAATCCTATTTTGAACATCTGATGTTCGGTACGGTGCAGAGGCTAGATGTTAGTTTGTTGGGGCGGTAAATCTTAAATCTGGTTTGATACTGAGCGCGGGCTATATTTGCTTCAATCACCCACAAAACCTTTCGAAACCCAACCCAAGTGTCCTTCTAAAATCATGGCGCAAACTCAGGGATGCAGTCTTGAGGCAAAGAATCACTGCAGAATCGCTATGGCATGTTAACTCTGGACCTGGATCAAAAGGCAGAGTCCATCGTTGGCAAGTGCAAGGAGCTGCATTTCTTCAAGTGCTCCGAGTAAATCTACAAATGTAGTTGCGATCTGCTAGCCCGCTGTTCTTGAGCATCTTTTTATGTATTTATCCTGATGTCTTGCTCGCATCAGCAAGGTGTTTGAGCCGCTTGTCCAGGCTCATTTCCTAATTAATTCCACCTACTGAATCAAAAGACTATGCAGCTAGGCCGGAATCTTTCTCCTCAACAAGTTTCATCTTCTCACATGGCTCATGGAATTTGTGAGGTTCCGGCGGTACGAAGAATCCAACGCGTTTATGCATTGGCGGTCTACCTGCTTGGCTGACTTGCTCCAGGCCATCATTGAGCCGCTCACCAAACCAGTATGCTAGCAGGGGTTGAAGAATTGTGTGGACTTCTGCAAGGCCACATCACTCGCAAATGGAATAGTACTTGCTCTTTGCCACACCTGGGAAAATGTGAATACTTCAAATCCGAATGGGCTCTGTCCGTCTCTGTCCTCCTTCTACAACTCATGAAGCAAAGATTATTCTTCGTGTGCTCATTCTGATTTTCCAAGCCACAACTTTTGGACTTCAAGCAGCACTCGGTGGGTCCATAGAAGCCTTTGCCACCGCAACGCTCTCCCAGACCAGCACCTGCTGGAGACCAAGCACGAAAAAAGGCACGACAAGCACGACAGGGGCTATGACTCATGATGACTGAAATGTTCAAGAAAATCAACGGCCAAGGTGCAGTCCATGGAGGTCTTGGCTGGAAGGCATTGCCTCACATGGAGTGCCGACAGTGCAAGTGAGTCCCTCAGGTCACCACCTTTCTCTACGTTTCACAGCTTTCCAGTAGTTTATATTGTTAAAAGCTCGCCTTATCATGATCCCATTCCTGCGTGTGGGGACTGAAGAGCACCGAAACCGACTCCAAGTGCATGCGGGTGAGGCCGGGACCAATATTCCATGCGCGAGTCATCGCAAGAGGAGCCGCGCTCACAGCAGCGGCTGATTGCTCCTCAAACGAGAAACCAAGGAACGATCGATCGATCGATCGATCGACAAACAAATCCAAGAATCGTAAGTCGAGGGGAGTGTGTTCAACCAGTGTGCTCTGCGCGGTTTTCATGTGGTTTCAGTTGACATCCACGTGTTCCAGTGGCTAAGAGCTACGTTCCATAACAGTGGAGGGTCGACCCTCGCCCCGTCCTCCCCCGCCACACTGATCGAAGACCTTGGCGCAAGGCCTTAGACGGGGTGTGGGTGTAGCATCATGACTTATAACGTTCCAGATTGAGCCCATCGGCCCAGGTGTAGACAGTGCAGACAACCAGCAGACTAACAGTAGTAAACAACCAGTAGCCAGCACAAAATCAATCAAATCCGAACAGGTTTTGACCCAGGGCGCCCATGCCCGCTTCTTAATCGACGAGTAACGATGTCACTAATACACCCCTGAAAAGGCTTGTCTTCCACCCACTGAGGAACCAGCTTGCTCGAGCTTTCTCCGGCCTCGGTCAATGACCCGCAGGCAAACCATGGTTGTGCAGCTCAAAGCCAAGATTGGGAGGCCGAAAAAACAAACAAAAAAAAGAAAGTCCCTTTTGAAGAAGTACCACTGGGCCTCGCTGGGGCTCACCTGGCCTTGCTGGGCCCCCCCGACCTCGGCTTCACTTCCCTCCGAACTGCTCACGCCGGCAACTCCGCTGGCGTTCGTGGAAGCTCCACCGGTGGAGTTGCTGGGGGAGTTCACCGAGTTCGTGGCGGAAGCACTAGCCTCACTGGAGATGCTTTGGCTAGTGGAAGTGGTAACACTGGTGGTCACTGTGGAAGTGACAGTCTTGGTACTCATTCTCGTGGTGAAAGTCTGTGTGATGGTCCGTGTGGTGACTGTAGTGGTGACTGTTGTTGTGACTGTTGTGGTGCTGGGTGGCGCGATGCTGCTGCTGCATTGATCGCTTCGAATGGATCCTGCAAGGTGATATGCACGGTTCGGGTTGGGTCCTTCTATCGAGAAATGAAAAAGAAATACAGTAAAAAAGAAATTCCACCGGCCATTGCTATTGCTTGAGACACCATCAAACAAGGAATCTGCTGACTCTAACCACAAGCTGGTTCATGCGAAAAAGTGTCTCTGCAAACGCTTCTTGCCTTCGTCACTTGTCCAAGTGCCCTCCGGGCATGCATTGCAAGCGGTGTAGGAAAACCCATCTGAAGCGGACAGGCATGCACTTGTTTGAGGTTGGTTGGCCAAAAGAGTGTGGTTTTCAATGACACTTGCTAGTCTTTGCCACCAGTCGTGACTTTTCAAGCCAAGTCCTAAAACTAAAAAGATCTGCAGCAACTCTCACGGCCAAGCCCGAACACCGCTGCAGCCAAAAAACCACCAAAGGTGCCTGGCCACGAATGCAGAATTGCCAAGGTTGTATTGGTCTGTTCTTGGGTATGTCCCAATACCAGTAACGGTGGATGAGGATGAGGAGGAGGAGGAGGAGGAGGAGGAAGATGATGATGATGCTGGTGGTGGTAGTCGCGGTGGTGGTGGAGATTAGTAAAGGCCTTTCCCAAGAATACTGATCATTTTTTACAAACTGTTATGAGTAATACCCAGTCTGATCCGCAAGTCAGAATGGATTTTTTTTCCTCAATCACCTGTGCCAATCCAAAAGATGTCAGCCCTTCTCTTTGGTGGCAACTTTTTGACCCCAAAAAACTGCCCTCACTCGCCAAAGGTCTGGTTCCGGTGAAACATGAAGTGCAAAGTTGTGTAGCCATATTTATGAGCGACATGGCAAGTATCCATGCATCACTGAGTCAACATCAACACACAACCTTGCTTTGACATCAAGGCCTAGAGCCTTCAAGAAAACCTGCAAGGTCCTTTCACGGTTTTTTACTTTTCAGCGTCTTTTCGTGCCTTTTGGGCAACGCTTGCAGCTGGAGACCCCCGGCTGGTTCGAGAAGTTCCCCACAGCACAGGGAATGCACAGTGCCAGCTCGGCTGCTGCCTGTCTGGACGAGGTCAAATGCTGAGAAAGGGACCCGCCGGGTCTGCGACAACACTCGAAAAACGCGCAGATGTTGGCCATGATTCTTTTTTCCACAAACAGTTTACTGTTGGGGTTCTCTGTTAACACAGAAGACACTGGCCACAGTCTCTGGCCACGCCCCTGAACCCTGTGTCCGGGTGTTGCTTGCTGTCTTCTGACCGCGCTCGTAAGCCCTGTGTCCAAGCCGCTCTCCATTTCTCCCTTGTCCGGGTATGTTTTCGTGTGGCTATGAGTCTCCGAGTGAAAGACAGTGATGTAGCGTTTGATATTCTCATGACAGTGGTTGCGCATGTGACCCTGGGAATCAGGAACTATTGTTTTCTAACATGTTTTGTCTACATGCCATTCCCAATACAGACGTTACCATCAGCATTGGAATTCAAGGAGTTGACGCCAAAAAGTAATGCTGAAACTGTTTGGGTCCATGCTGGTATCATTATATAGTGGTGCTGTGTGCACATGCTTGCCGATGTATCAATTTGATCACCTCATTCTGCTGACTTGGGTCACCTCCCGACCTCAATGGGCTGATAGCTGCCGGCCGGGCATGGAAGGCAGGTGGAGGACTCTGTGGCACCGGAGATGTTGCTGTAGGTCCCGACAGGACACCTACAGCACTGGACTAGAAGAACCAACGAAAGGTCTTGATCCTCGAGAGTGGGCGGCAACGGCTACAACAAGTTGTGGTAAGTTGAACAGAGCTAGAAGCTTTGATGCCCGATTATGCCGCGTCTCCACTGAATTCTTAGATACAAAATATGCCAATAGTCTAATGGTGGACTCAGTCCTCTGGGAATTAACAGCTTGGTCAAAGCTACTTTGGGCGTTCTACAATGTGACTACCATTGACCATTCTTTCTTGGAAATGACGATAACCACAAATATCTGCGGTGGACAGCTGTCTCAAGGCAACATGTAACACACCCTCCCTACAAGATGCCATACCCTATTCTTGAAAATTGCGAATGATTCCATGTAATAAACCCTTCTGCAACTGCTACAGTACTACAGGCAATAGGAAAGACACAACATACAAGAATATCCACAAACTCTCTGGATGATTCCTGAGCACTGGAGCCCAGTTGCTGCCAGGGTGCTTGGTGCAGTTGTCAATCCAGCCCAAACCAGCCTGATCACTCCACCTGAAAGTCACAGCACAATGAAAAAAACCATCCGTGTAGCGACAAGACCAGCCATTTTGACACTGAAACGGTTGTCCGCAGGCATGTAGGTGCACTGACAAATCTGCCAGCAAAACATCTTGTCAAATCAACGTGTCCAACAATTTCAAGATCTTTTAGACCAACCTTCGATTCTGTGGCCTGGGATTCACTGGCACCACAAACAAATCTCAGGCCGGATTTGGATCTACATCTCTTCCGAGTCTCTTCCGAGTCTCTTCCATGTTCCGCGCATTTCCGCGCCTTCCAGGCAGACAGGCTGCACAATTGTCAGAACTCGTGGAGCCCTCGTTCTCGCCCACCGTTCCCGCTGGACACGCGATGCAGGTGGTGCTCTCACTGGCTCCTGCCAAACACTACTACCTTGATCAGGCAGTTCTTTTCGGTGTCCAAAATGGTGTTCCCCTATTTGTGTGGATTCAAAGCTCCATGTCAGCAACGCTCCAGGTGAAGCATGGTCAAGTATTAGAGTTTGAAGAAAGGAGGGATATGAAAGTAAGGACGTATTTTTGAGTGAGGTTTGGTGTGAGACCCTCATAGCAGGTTGGGTTTCAACACAATTCGCTGCAAATCCCACATCCTCAGTGAGCCTCACTGTTACGGGGCAATGGGGTCTTTAACATGCTTTTGTCGAGATTGACACAGATCGGACACCCTCCATCAAAAATGGTTGCTACACCCACCGCA